GGAGAAGCAGGCTCCATGCAGGAAGCCCAGTGTGGGACCCAATCCCGGGACTCCAGGATTATGCCCTGGGTAGAAGGCAGACGCCCAACCACTGAGCCACCCAGGTGTCCCACAGTCAAAATTTTTTAGAGGGAAAATTTAGTTGGAAAAAAATTTCTGGTTACTTCAAGGTTTGTCAAACACCGTGAGTCGTAGTTAATTGACATGTCCATATCTTCAACATCAATTATTTTTAAGTAGCAAGTATATGCTGTAAAGAGAAGTCTTTATTTGTATTTTAGATTGAGAGGAATGATAGAGGACATGCATGCATGAATGTGTATGTGTATGCTCATGTGCTGGTAAGTGTGCATGTGTGTGTGTGTGTTAGAGAGAGAGAGAGATAAGAGAGAGAATATATACACATTTATTTTTCTTATGTGTGATCAATTAGAGATTCATTGTTTGTGCTCCTCTCCTGATATTGTGGTCTAATTCAGGTTCTTAGAATCAAATAAGTCAGTTTTTAAGTGAGGAGAGAGATAGTTTAGAAAATGGGAAGAACACAGGCTTCTTCAGTTTCTTTCTTTCTGAGAGAGAGAGCACAAGCAAGGGGTGCAGCAGAAGGAGAGGGAGAAGCAGGTTCCCTACTGAGCAGGGAACCCAAACTGGGCTCGATCCCAGGACCCCAGGATCATAACCTGAGCCGAAGGCAGAGGCTTAACCATCTGAGCCATCTAGGTCCCCGTCAGCTTCAGGTTTTTTTTTTTTTTTTCCTTCGGGTTCTTAATAGCAAAAGGGATTAGGCTCCAGATGCCACCTACAGTTTTGTAAATAAGTGGAGATAAAATATGACTATAGCAGTCTCAGGTTTTTCAATAATAACTCATTGAAAACAAGTTTCCTCCTTCACAAATGTGAAATAACAATAAAATGTATGATTAAAAAACAACAATAAAATAATATGCCTGACACACCTGAAAAAGAGTGGAAAAGATAGGAGAGTAGAGTATGAGGAATGATGGAAATTAGCTTCAGTTAAGTTTCAAAAGAGTCTACTGTATGCTTGAGAGAATCTGGCCCACAGCCTGTCCCCTCTTTTGTAATGAATTTTCCTCTTTGTTACTCACAGTGTTTTACTCAACATAATCTACCAAGCTAAGAAGATTAACAATGATAAGAGAGAAAAAAATCCTAAAAATCTTGATTTAGAAAAAGGAAAGATTGTAATGGGAAATTCCCAGTAAGCTGGAAACAACCCTGATTTTGACAACTGAAGATACTGTGACATGTACTCTGTCTTCCTGTGGTAGACTTCTTTCTCTTTGTTCTTTCTTTTCCTCCTTCCTTCCTTCCTTCCTTCCTTCCTTCCTTCCTTCCTTCCTTCCTTCTTCCTTCCTTCCTCCTTCCTTCCTTCCTTCCTTCCTTCCTTCCTTCCTTCCTTCCTTCCTTCCTTTCAGATTTTATTTACTTATGTATTTATTTAGAGCACACGAGCCTCAAGCAGACTCCCTACTGACCACGAGCCCGTCTCAGGCTTGATTGCTTGATCTCATGCCTGAGCTGAAATCAGGTGTGTGACGCTTAACCAACTGAGCCACCCAGGCATGGAGGGCAGATTTAAGTGGGCTATTTCATTGTTGAATGGTTACCAGAGTTTAGGTCCTCTATGTAAACCTTAAGTGAGGAAAAGATGCTTTAGCCAGATTCTAATCTGTGCTTTAGTGGGAAAAGGCCAGGGAAAAAATCCAAATCATCAGAGCTTCAAATACATCATTATTGCTCAGTCTCTCCCCTTGGTCACAGAAAATCTTGAGGGGGCCTGAGGTGTTGGTAATCCTATCAACAGCTCTTACACTGAATAAGTGTGTATATCTTCACACTACTGGTTTCTTCTCACCGAGGCAACATACTAATGTAAGGAAAGTTTGGGGGGGGCACCTGGGTGGCTCAGTTGGTTAGGCGTCTGCCTTTGGCTCAGGTCATGATCCCAGGGTCCTGGGATAGAGCACTGGTTTGGGCTCCCTGCTCATGATCTCTGTCCCTCTTCTCTCTCTCAGATAAATAAATAAAAATCTTAAAAAAAAAAAAAAAAAGTTTGGGAGGGAATTTCCTGGAAGCAGGTGGCCTACTTACCTAAACACATGGCTATTTTTTTTTTTTTTACGTTGCCTGGCAGATAAGAGGTAGGCTGTAGAATATTTGTATTTGAAGAGAGTCTCTTGATAGTAAGTTAGATCAATCTCTGAGGCACTGAGGCAGCTCCTTGTGGTGACCGGTTGCAGTCTGAGCCCTGCTATTCCTTCCCTGACTCTATCCCAAGTGAAGCTGAGCTGTTGGCTCAGTGCGTTAGAGTGCATTCTCTGAGCATGTGCACAGAAGGTAGCTGTGTCCTTGGGTCATGACTGATTGACCCAATGGACCTGGCTTTCACCAGGTACAAGCTTTACCAGTAAAATAGGCTGCCCTGCCTACCTAAAAACTTGGATCCTGGGAGACTCTTGAGGGGGCTACAGCCTCTGTTTAGAACTAGTATTTCTGGAACTTTCCTCTGGGGCCAACTGTACCTGGGGTATGTGTTATCAAGTCCAGATTCCCAGTCCTATACCTATTAATTGTGATTCAGTATATCTGGTATAGCCATTCTGATGCACAGTGAGGTTTGGGAACTACTAACTTAGAATATTCTCACACGATGGACATACTACAAAAGGTGTTATCTTACCATAGAGATGTTTGCTTACCATTTGTCTCCTGATTTTACAAATCCATTTATTCAATAAATATTTACTGACTGCCTATTCTATGCCAGATACCAAGCAAGGCAGTGGAGCTGTAACAGTAAACAACATTGACATGCTTTTTGTCCTCATGAAATGGAGGGAAACAAGTAAACAAATTAGTAATTATGGTAAGAGCTATGAAGACCCCAACAGGATATTGTAGTAGAGTATAATGGAGGGAGGAGCAGTGAGTATTTAAAATAAAAAGCTGGTTAAGGATGGCCTTCTGAGGAGGTGGCAGTTACATTAAGACCTAGCTTAAGGGCACCTGGGTGACTCAGTGGTTGAGCGTTTGCCTTTGGCTCAAGTCGGGATCCCTGGGGAACCTGCTTCTCCCTCTACCTATGTTTCTGCCTCTCTTTCTTTGTCTCTCATGAGTAAATAAATAAAATCTTAAAAAACAAAACAAAAAAAAAAAAACAAAACCTAACTTAAAGGGAACCAGACATATGAGGAGCATTTTAGGCAGGATAAAAAAACTTGTGCAAAGACATTGGGACAGGTTCAACTTTAATCCTATTTTGAGAATAGAAAGAAAGGCCAGAATGGCTGGTGCCTAACAAGCCCAGGGAAGAAAAGAGTGAGATTAGGCAGGTAGGCACCAGATGGTGTAGACTTTTGAGGACCAAGGGGGTGGTAATAGACGAAGAGAGAAAGGGGATCAGGCATTTTGTTGGAAATAGGACTGTGGAATTAATTGAAGAGGGGTCTAACATCAGACAATAATATGGGAGTCATCAGCATGCAGATGAAGAGCCACCTGAATGGGTTATCTTGCCTAGAGAGCAGCTGTAGAGAGAGGGTAGAGAGGGCCTTAGTAAGGAAGACTAGGAGCAGCCAAGACATGAGAGGGTGGGAGGGTACGAGGAAAACCAGGAGATTATAGGCCTGTGGAAGCCCCAGTAGGAGAATACTCAAAGATGTGTCATTGCATCATTGCTATTGAAGGCCTAGAATACTACAATCTCACACTCTAGCCACTAGCTTCAAGTCGCTATTAAGGATACCAGATGTGGGGATCCCTGGGTGGCTCAGCGGTTTGGCACCTGCCTTTGGCCCAGGGCGCGGTCCTGGAGTCCTGGGATTGAGTCCCGCGTTGGGCTCCCGGTGTGGAGCCTGCTTCTCCCTCCTCCTGTGTCTCTGCCTCTCTCTCTCTCTCTATGTCTATCATAAATAAATAAATAAATCTTAAAAAAAAGATACCAGATGTGACTAGTGCAAATTGAAACATGTAAGTGTAAAACAAAATAGGGGTACCTGGGTGGCTCAGCTGGTTAAGCATCTGCCTTTGGCTCAGATCCTGATCTCAGGGTCTTGGGGTTGAGCCCCACATGGAGCTCCCTGCTCAGTAGTGGGTCTGCTTCTCTCTCCCTTGCCCCTCCTCCAACTCCTGCTTTCTCTCTCTCTCAAATAAATAAAATCTTTTAAAAATAAGTGTAAAACAAACTGCACTATGGACACCTAAAATGAATTTGATGTTATACAACATTTTGTATTTCAATTTAAAAAATGCACACCAAATTTCAAAGACGGGACAAAAAACAAGAATGATAAGTATTTCATCAATACTTTTAAATTAAGTAGTGATTATATGTTGAAATGATAAAGTTTGTGATATATTGGGTTAAATGAAGTATACTTTTAAAATTTCACTTGCTTTTTACTTTTGAAAAATATGGCTGCTAGAAATTTTTAATTACACATGTGGCCTGCGTCATATCTGTCTTGCAGAGTTTTGGCAACGTGAAGGTCATTGGCAAACTTGGTAAGAGTAGACTGCCTGAGATCAAGTAATACCTAGCAAATTCTTCATACTCAGATGAGACTGAGTCATCATCTAATACTGTTATGCTAAAACTAAACAACAAAACTCACCATCAAAAATTCTTCTAGACTTTATGATGAGTACATAGTGATTTAATAATTTCACTTAAACTGACAATATAATATGGAAGTATTTACATGAAATCCTTTGAAATCAACTCTCAAATGTGGTTTTTCGATCTTTTTTAACCTGTTCCTTTCTTTCCTTTTTTGTCTTCTTTCTTTGTTTCATTTAATTTTTTATTTTTAATTTTAAAAACTTTTTAATTTTATTTATTTATTTATTTATTTATTTATTTATTTATTTATTTATTTATTTATTTATTTATTTATTTATTTATACATCTGGCCAGGAAACTTCATGGTGTTATGGTCAACTTGCCGCACAACCGTGTTCAAATCTGTCACCAACAGGTTCATTAAAAACCTGGCCTGCTCTGGGATTTGTGCCAGCCTGGTCTGCGTGCCCTTTGACATCATCCTCAGCACCAGTCCTCACTGTTGCTGGTGGATCTACACCATGCTCTTCTGCAAGGTTGTCAAATTTCTGCACAAAGTCTTCTGCTCTGTGACGATCCTCAGCTTCCCTGCCATTGCCTTGGACAGGTAAGATCAAGTAGCCAAGGATTGGACTTCTTTTATTTCAAGTGCATTGAAAAATTAGCATCACAAAGCAAAGGGTGACTAGATAGTCTTCTACACAATGCTTTGTGGTCAATAGAAAGAGAATGTCTGAAATAGATGCCTCACAAAAGACATGTTGATTGCATGGCAGCCACGGCTAAAATAGGACCTTGAGAAAAGAAGTGGTATTGGGGCAGGGATTACACCATGAGGTTGCTGGGGCAGGCTGGATCCTGGAGTAGCTTCAGCTTGGATGGAATTAGTGGTATTTGCATTGCAATTTGTAATAGATTGCTGATCTGATTGATGATTCTGCAATTAGTGCTTTTTGATGTAGGATGAAACATTTTTGGAAGAACAAGGAAACAATTCAGTGGTTATTTAACAAATGATTGGACAGCCCAGTTGGACCTGGTAAGATAATACCAGAATTCCTTTGGAGGATTGATTTCCAAGCCTTTATATTTCTCTTCCCATCCTCTTTTAAAGGATGTTCAGTTGGAAATGAATCCTATCTTAGCTGCTACCATCATACATAATTTGATCCAATTTATCGGAGTCAGGAGTAAAGATCTCAGTAATCAACAGCTTCCTGCCTTCTTTTGTTGTGAGCGTTTAATGAATACAGTTTGAGATAATAATACATTTTAGAGAATAGAAGTAAATAAGCAAATGAGCTGAGGAGTATTTTGCATCCATGAGTACTTTTGATTTCAAAATTTACAGAGAGGAAAAGTTGCCGAGGGGAAAGTGCTGGCTCTTCTGCCTTTATCCCCATTGATAAATTTAACTGGATTTTAGATGAATTTGGAATTTTTAACTCTCTATCCATTCAAAACATACTTAATACTTTAATGAACTCTGAGGGCATGGATTGCAGAACCAATTTGTGGAGTGTCACTTCAGCCTCAGGCCTGCAACTCTGAATTTATCAGTTGCCCAGGGTCATCTGCATGGAGGGATAGAGTCACACAAAGTCCCCAGCATACTAGGAGGAGTTACTGACTTTGTGGTTAAGAGAGGGGAGTCTGGAGCCTCAAGCTGGCTTTAAGCCCTACCCACCCTCTGTTCTTGTGCTGGGTTGCTTAGGGCAAAGTGACTTAACCTTTCTGAGCATGTTTCCTCAGCAGTAAGAAAAATTAAATGAATTATTTATGACCTGTTCTTGGATAAGCTGCACCAATATTTGTTTGTCTTTCTCTAGGTTTCCCTTTCAATTGGCGCATTTTTCCTTAGATATATTGTCTGCAGTCATTGCACCATCAGATCTGCTGCTCTTTGGATCTCTAGCTCTTTGGATCTAGCTCTTTGGGATCTCTAGCTCTTTGGGAGTTTCTCACTAGAAATTCACCATTTACAGGGGCAGGCAAAGCAAATGACAAAGCCAAGTGTTACTGGCCGGATTGCAGTTCTGTGTCTGCATTCCTGTTCATAGGGGTCAGTAATTCAGCAGATGCAGCTAATACTTTATAGGTATTTAGACTCAGTAGGCAGGACTTTCTGTTTTCTTAGGAGAGAAATCAGAAATCTGGAGTTTTACCATTTATTTTATTTTTATTTTTTATTTATTTATTTTTTAAAGATTTTATTTATTTATTCATGAGAATATACAGAGAGGAGAGAGAGGCAGAGACACAGGCAGAGGGAGAAGCAGGCTCCATGCAGGGAGCCCGACGCGGGACTCGATCCCGGGTCATGCTCTGGGCTGAAGGCGGTGCTAAGCCGCTGAGCCACCCAGGCTGCCCACCATTTTATTTTTTAAAGATTTTATTTTTATTTTATTTGTTTATTTAAATTATTTATTTATTAATAGAGACAGAGAGGGGCAGAAACATAGGCAGAGGGAGAATTAGGCTTCCCATGGGGAGTGTGATACAGAACTCGATCCCAGGACTCCAGGATCACAGTCTGAGCCAAAGGCAGATGTTCAACCACTGAGCCATCCAGGTGCCCCAAGATTTTATTTTTTTAAGTGATCGCTCAAACTCACAACCCCTAGAACAAGAGTGGTGCACACTGAGCTAGCCAGACACCCCGAATTTTATTGTTTTTAAATGTTGGCAACTAATTTTCATTCAAAAGGATTATATGGATCACTCAAGCCCTCAACAAGCTCCATGTGATGCCATTTTGTGTGTCTCTTTTGTGCTTGGCAAGAGGCCTTTGAAAATCTAGAAAGTGCCATTGCATAGTACTGGACTCTTAACAGTGCAAAGTCATAGTGGAAAGTCTAATTACACACCGGGGGATGCCCTAATGCATGTTGTGTCGAACCATTGCGCATTCGTGGCAGGGGTCCTTCTGATGCCCCTTGTGCCACCTGCTTAGTAGTTTTAGTCTTCAGTCTGCATTGTGGACTTTTCTTTCCTGAGAGTTTTTTCCAGCAGTTTTGTGGAGATATTATTTACATATCATAGAATTCACCCATTTTAAGTGTATGAGCCATTGGAGTTTAGTATAATTACAGCATTGTGTGGCCATTACCACAACCAATCTTTAGAACAGTTCCATCACCCTAAAAAGAGACCTCCTGCTCATTTACATTCATTCCCCCTTCCCACTTGCAGACATAGGCAACCACTAATCTACTCTCTTCTCTGTCTGTATATGTTTGCTTTGGGGAGGGGGGCAGTATTTCATTTTGTGGAATCAAGCAATGTGTTCTTTTATGTCGGGCTTCTTTCACTCAGCTTCATGCTTTCAGGGTTCATCCGTGCCTGAGCATCAGTGTTTCATCCCTTTTTCCCCCAGTTCTGTTGAGATATAATTGATGTATAGCAACATATACATTTAAGGTGTACAGCAAAATGACTGGACTTACATATATTGTGGAAGGATTACTGGAGTAAATTTACTTAACATCCATCATGTCATGCAGATATGAAAAAAGAAATGAAAAAAAGAAAAAATGTTTTTTTTCTTGTGATGAGAACTCTTAGGATCTACTCTTAAAATTTTGCTCCATTCTTTTTGATTGCTGAATAATATTCCACTGTATGGATGTACCATATTTTGTTGGCCCACTTGCTAGTTGATAGACATTTGGGTTGTTTCCACTTTTTGGCTCTTTATTTATTTATTTTTTTAAGATTTTAGTTATTCATGAGAGACACAGAGAGAGAGAGAGAGACAGAAACCTAGGCAGAGGGAGAAGTAGGCTCCCCACGAGGAGCCTGATATGGGACCCAATCACAGGACCCCAGATCACGACCTGAGCCAAAGGCAGACTCAACCACTGAGCCACCCAAGTACCCTCCACTTTTTGGCTCTTGTGAATAGTGGCTGCTATGAATCCTTAAAGATTTTTACAATAGGATGCAACAAGAGTGGGGATGCATTCTTCTGAACTGTTGGTTACTATACCTTGAAGCGGTGCAGTCATCCTCGTGGGTTGTTCTGGGCCCTTGGTCTTAGACAAGAAAAACATGTAAACAATAAGAAATCCTTATTTTCTTTCCAGCCAAAAATCGATTGTATTTTTACTATCATAAAAAAAAGTAAATATGCCCTTTAGTTAGAGAAAGAAGGCTAGTAAAAAAAAAAAAATCCCATTTTATTACTTAGGGAAACAAGTTACTGGCAAGTGTAGTGTGGTGTCCTTGAAGACAAAGGGAAGACAATTTTTTCTCTCACTTTCTTGGATACTTGTTTCCTGGCTCTGAGTCAGTGAGTTCATTGGGAGGCCACTTCCTGCATCATCTTCTAGAGATGTGAATATTAACAAATGATTTCTAGTAAGCCTGTGTGCTTTTCCAACACACAGTGGAACAGTGGAAGTGTGGTTTTGTTACCTGTCAGTTGACCAATGGGAATGTATTCATGCATGGGTGCCACACCTGGGCACTGGATTGAGAAGTTGTGATTAGAAAAGTGCATCTATATTCAGAGAAAAAAAATCAGGAGCATGCATAACCTCTGCACTTATTTTTCTCTTTTTTTTCCCTCCCAGAAAGAGATCTAGAACACATTTCACCATTCTCCGTCCATTCGTGATCATCCATGGTCATGTTGTGCTTATATTGCATCTCCCTCAGCCTGGAACATTCTCCCTCAGCTTGTTCCCTACCAGACTTCACCCAGTGGCATCTTCTGTTGACATTTTCCCAGGTGCTCCTTTTCCTGTCCCTCCTTTGTGCATACCTCTAGAAGAGCCATTATCTCCTTGGTTATAACTGCTCGTTTGCATGCCTTTTCCCCCACAGAGTTTATAGAGACATTATTGTGTGTCTTTCCATCTTTGTAATGCGGTACCTGGTGCCATACCTGGCACATTGGTGGTGCTCAGAGATCCTCGTGACAGGAAGGCATGCATATTTATCTGGCCCCCACGAGCAATGAATGTTAATAGAATTGTAAGGTCGACTCCAGCTTTAGCAACCGTGGAGGTATATGCTCCCCATAGGTCTGATGGCTAGTGATAGCCCCTTCATGACAGATTTAGCTCGTAGGGTCTGAAGAATTACTCAGTTTTCCTATGTCACTGGTGATATTGAAACCAGGTGCTTTTGGAATTCTGATTACAAAATAATCAAGTGAAAGCTTGAAGGAAGAAATATCTGATCTGATTTTAACAAAAATCTAATCATGCGGGCATTTTAGACTTCTTAATCATGAGGGTTATTAAGTGATTATCATGGGAACAATGGCTATGGAGAAGGCATACTTTTTGTCAGTTGATTTGATTTTGTGCAAGGACAGTCTGTTCTTTACATGGGGTTCTTCTGCCTCGAGCAGCTGTAAATGCTAATGATGTCCATGCATGCACGATTGCATGAGTCTGCTTTAGATATGTGTGTGGACAAACTTCTTTCTACTAGTGGCTTTGAAAATTGAATAAGCTCCTCTAGCCCATGTAAAATTTTTTTTACAAGTTACCCTTTACCCTTAAATTGAAAAATTGATGTCTTTACAGCAGGTGGAGACATCCTTTATATTGAGGGCATTCCTTGGCATCTAATGCTGGTGGCGATATTTACAAAGTTAGCTATGAAATGAAATTACAAAAAAAAAAAAAAAAGAAATGAAATTACATACTGGTTTTCCTGATAGTCTTGAGAATCCCATATGACAGGGCTCTTCTCTGCTCATTTGAAAAATTACTTTTATGTTTATTTGTTTTTTGGCCTTAGTAATGCTTCTATTGTATAGCAAAGTCTAAGATCTGGCTTCTTAGTTCCCCCAGTGTGATTCCCTCTGTCTTAGACAGAATAAAAGATCTTGACTCATTTTTTCTTCTTCTCTCCTACTTTTGGTAATATAGATTCCCCTGATTTAAACAATATATTCTCCTGTGAAATGAATTTCACTTGTGCATTTTGCAGGTATTACTCCGTCCTTTATCCACTGGAGAGAAAAATATCTGATGCCAGGTCCCGTGAACTGGTGATGTACATCTGGGCCCATGCAGTGGTGGCCAGCATTCCTGTGTTTGCAGTGACAGATGTGGCTGACATCTATGCCATGTCCACCTGCACCGAAGTCTGGAGCAAGTCGTTGGGCCACCTGCTATATGTTCTGATCTACAACATCACTACAGTCATCGTGCCTGTGGCTGTGGTCTTCCTCTTCTTGATACTGATCCGACGGGCCCTGAGTGCTAGTCAGAAGAAGAAGGTCATCATAGCAGCACTTCGGACCCCCCAGAATACCATCTCTATCCCCTATGCCTCCCAGCGGGAGGCAGAGCTGCATGCCACCCTGCTCTCCATGGTGATGGTCTTCATCTTATGTAGTGTGCCCTATGCCACCCTGGTTGTCTATCAGACAGTGCTCAACGTCCCTGACACGTCTGTCTTCCTGCTGCTCACTGCCATTTGGCTGCCCAAGGTCTCCCTGTTGGCGAATCCTGTACTCTTTCTGACTGTGAACAAGTCTGTCCGCAAATGCTTGGTAGGGACATTGGTACAACTGCACCACCGGTACAGTCGCCGTAATGTAGTTAGTGCAGGGAGCGGGGTGGCTGAGGCCAGCCTGGAGCCCAGCATGCGCTCGGGCAGCCAGCTCCTGGAGATGTTCCACATTGGTCAGCAGCAGATCTTTAAGCCCACAGAGGATGAGGAAGAGAGTGAAGCCAAGTACACTGGCTCAGCTGACCTCCAGGCCAAGGAGATACTTGGTACCTGCCCAGAGGGAGGGCAGGGGCCACATTTTGCACCTCCCACACCACTCCTAGGCACAGTAGACTCTCTATCCCAGGTGGTACCAACAGCCCCTGTGGAACCTGAATCATTGCCTGACAAGTATTCCCTGCAGTTTGGCTTTGGGCCTTTTGAGTTGCCTCCTCAGTGGCTCTCAGAGACCCGAAACAGCAAGAAGCGGCTGCTTCCTCCCTTGGGTAACACCCCAGAGGAGCTTATTCAGACAAAGATGCCCAAGGTAGGCAGGGTGGAGCGGAAGATGAGCAGAAACAATAAAGTGAGCATTTTTCCAAAGGTGGATTCCTAGTAAGGATTGTAAATCCCTGGAAGCAACAGGGAGCTCCCACGCTCCTGCCATCCCTTCGCTCTGGCTGGCCCTAGGATTTATGTGATCTTATTGCAACCGAGTATGGGTTGACTCCTCCTGTGTGGGCCTGATGCTTTTTGAATGAGAGGGAAATCTATGTAAGATCAAGTGTCCTCTTATTGAGGGAGTATATATATATATTTATCTCAGTGATCTGTGTCCTTAGTAAAGTTTGCATTCCTCTCTGTGGAGACAAAAGCTGGGCGTGTGGAACAGGTCTTGGAATGGGTACTCCATAGGCATTTTCTGAGGACTCTTTGGTTCCTGGGCCCAGCAGAGAGTACAGGGAGAGAAGAATGTCTCTGAGCTCAAAGGGAGTGCAGGCACTCTAAGGGAAGCCCAAGATAATTACGGAGTGGTGTGGCCACAAAGAAAATAATGCCTGTTCGATTGACTCAAATATGACAAATATTAAAAATGTTTAGTATTGATCTGTATATTCAGGGAAGATAGGGACTTGGCATTTGACACCTTTTCTCTGGGAGGCCTGATTGTATGACTCAATTTCTCCTGAAGTCCTTCATCTCTTTCACTGGGATATAGATAAAGAATGGCAATTCCACCCCCATTTGACAGACAAGGCAAAGATGTGCCACGGGGTAAGAGAGGAGAGATAATCCTGACATTCTCTGGATTATCCTGACATTCTCCTGGCATCACTAAAGCCTCAGGAACCTGTGTCTGCAGTGTTGGTTGGGAAACACTACAAGTGCTTTACTATCTCTTCCCCCTTAAAGTGCATATTTTCAACTAATGAGAGAGAGAAGGTAAGAGGTAGAGAAGAAGGAAATGTCCAAACCCTGTAGTCTCTTCTCTTCAACATTGATTTCATGTGAAAGGGGCTATATCAAATCAGTAGGAGTGAAGTATATTGAAAAAAATTATCTTGTGCAAATTTTTGGAATTAAAAGGTAATTTAAAAATGCAGAGTTGGTGTAACCTAGGCCCTCTGGAAACATCGAGCTAAAAATACTTCATTAGGAAAGGTGCTTCTGCCCAAAGGAAGGAAAGATGGCTTCCTTCTGTAGAGGACTCCAGAGCAGGGTGTGGCCAGACTCATTTTCAGTCTCTTTTTGGACACAAAGGAGGAACAGGACAGGAAGAAAGATGTAACCAGTTTAAAATGCCAAGGCAGGACCCAGCCCCAGTGAGCCCTTCACTTCCTCTCTTCTGGAAAAGTGAGTCAGAGTGGAAGAGGGAGGAGGACTGTGTTCTTAACAGATTAGCCTCCTGGGTGTGTGTGGGGGGTGCTCTCACAGGCAATTCAAGTCCACTTTAGGGAGGATGCCACCAGGCTAAATTCAAACCGTCGATGACACTTCACTTTTAATGACAGCAAATCAAGTGCCAGCTCCACTCTTCTGTCTAGGACATGTTTTACTTGTTAATAGTATGTTGGCGGCAGAGGTGGCAATCCAGTACCCTGAGCGAGCTTGAATGAAAGTGGGAGTTCTCACCGGCAAACTTCCTTCCGCATCCCAGGGGCAGTGGTCCTCATGGATCACTTCCTTGTCCTTTGGAGGAAGCTCAGACTATGTGTAGGGAGTTTCCTTTTGCTCTTCTCTCCTGGGTGTGGTGTCTTGTGATTCCAGAATATGAGCCCGAGGTCCCTTCCCTGGAAGAGGGAAAGCCTTCCTCTTCGTGTTGTGTCTCCTTGGCAGCATTGTGTGCTCTCGGCACACACAGGGGCCTGCCACCGCCTCTCTCCTGGCCTCCCAGGCCTTCTGTGCATGCCATCTGTAGCACCATGCCCCCTGATAGTTAACTGTGGCCCTTCAAGCTTATCTTTCAAAACCTTCACAATTGTTACAACTTTCCTCCAGGGGAAACATCATCTGTCAGAAAACTGTGTCCACTTTAGAAGAATCTGTCAAATGTAGCCACTTAGGTGTTGTTCTGATAATATATATGTACATCTTAATACATTCTGGTGAGGTGGAATTTGGTAGTTATTTCTTATGTATGTTTGAAGCAGATGGTTGACTTCTAACAGGTCATTGCCAGGTGTATTTCTATAGTCTTTGAAGAATTCCATTTTAATAAAAAACTGAAAAGCCGTTTCCAAACGCAAAAAAGGTTGCATGAGCTATGGGTTTTTTTTGTTGTTGTTGTTTCTTCCGTTCCCTCTCGAGTGAGCATATTCCTGTAAATGCTGAATGTTGATTTAATCAAAATCACAGCGATATCAGGAAGGTAGAGGAGAAGTAGGGGGATGATTGTGCAGGAGAGCATCTACCCTGACAGGATGCAATGCAATGCAATGATGTCCAGAATGGATGATGCAAAACAGAATACACATATTTTGGAATATGGAGATGTGTAACTGTGGCTGAATTATTGCAAGTCCTTGACTGCTTTGCGTGTTTGTTTTAAACCTTTTTGTTATATTTTAAAACAATCTACATGCGAGGCACTTGGGTGACTCAGTTAAGCATCTGCCTTCAGCTTAGGTCATGACCTGAGGTCCTGGGATCAAGCCCTGCCTTATACTCCCTTCTCAGCAGAGTCTGCTTCTCCTTTCTCTCTCCCTCTGCCGCCCCCTGTGCCGTTGCTTGTGCTATCTCTCTGTCTCAAATAAATAAAGAAAATCTTTTTTTAAAAAAATAAAGCAATCTACATATATAGATAAAAATGCAAATCAACTTAAAAACCTGAATTTTGGGACGCCTGGATGGCTTAGCAGTTGAGCATCTATCTTTGGCTCAGGACGTGATCCCGGAGTCCTGGGATCGAGTCCCACATTGGGCTCCCTGAGAGGAGCCTGCTTCTCCTTCTGCCTATGTCTCTGCCTCTCTCTGTGTCTCTCATGAATAAATAAAAATAAATTTTAAAAAAAAAATTTCTGAATTTTGTAGCACACCATCAGACTAAACAAATGAAAAATAGAAGAAACCATAAGCATCATTAAAGGGAATTGAGAAAATTAGACAATTCAGGCTTTCAGAGTAACTAATGGCTTTCTGCTGATACACTCAAATAATGTCAGTTTACTCAGATAATTCCTTTGGTTCAGCTCTATGAACTGGGCTGTTATAGGCTGTTTTGAATCCCATTTCCCCCCTATCTTTTCTCAGTAACCAAGAAGTAATATTTCTTCTTTCTTTTTTTGTGTGTATTTAATAAAATACATTTGACAATGATTGCTACTTTTTTTAAAGATGTTATTTATCTATTTGACACAGAGAGAGAACCAGAGAGCACAAATGAGGGGAACAGCAGAGGGAGTGAGAGAACTCCCCACTGAGCAGGGGCCTGATTTGGGCTTTGATCCCAGGAACTTGGTTAATGACTGAGCCACCCTGGCACCCCTGATTGCTGCTTCTTCTTCTTCTTCTTCTTTTTAAAGATCTTATTTGTTTATTCATGAGAGACACAGAGAGAGAGGCAGAGACATAGGCAGAGGAAGAAGCAGGCTCCCCATGGGGTGCCTGATACTGGACCCCATCCCGGGACTCTGGGATCACACCCAGAGCCAAAGGCAGACACTCAAACACTGAGCCACCCAGGTGCCCCTGATTGCTACTTTTTAGGAGCAAGTTTAAGTAATGCTAGTTTATTTATTTTAGAAATGTAGAACCCACCTAATATTTTAGATTTATACAAAAATATTAAGTTTAATGAATCCAACTATTCTGGAATTTGTTTGCTTATTTGTAATTTATCTTAAGATAAATATCTAAAGACAATATCTAAAGTGAACACTATATAAATACATTTGCATTAACTGCTTCAAGACATTAGAATATTATCTAGAACATCTCAATTAGTTTTAATTTATAATACTCTCTGCCTTAAAGTTTGTTCCCTTGGTAGCATTTGGCTTCTCACTGCCTGCTTTGTATTTGTATATGATGTTTCACTGGAGGATATTAAAGCACAGCCCACAGACTTTCTGTAGGCAATGATATGATCTCTATTCTGCAGCTGGGGAACCAGAGACACAGATGGCCACGTCATTAGTTCTCAGAGATGAAGCAAGTTAGAGACAGAGCTGAAAACAGTACAGAAGGCATTAAGGCCACATTCTTTCACTGCACCCTCCAAAGTACTGATGATCATTATCATCCACTGTTACCATGATTATTTTTGAATACCCACTTGGCACATGTTATTAAACTGTATTGGGGACTGGATTAAAACCCTTAATGCCTGACAGCTGCTTTTCTCAGTGTTATTCCTCAAATTTCCTTTGGCTCCATGATTTCCCGTTTCACCGTAGAGTAATTCGGTGCAGATTAAACGTTAAGAAACTCTTAATGGGATGCCAAGTTTGAGATCATTCGGCTGAGAGTATTCACAGACATCGTCTTCTGTCTCATGTTCTCCTTGTTAATTTCTGCACCGAGGTTACCCTTCGTTTAGTTTAAGAGTCATCACCATCAAATACTCTCAGCCATTGGCCACGCTCCCGCAGGGACACTTGATACTAGTTTTCTGCAAGCATCTGAAATGTTTACAAGATTCATTCATTCAGAACACTAAATATTACTGTATTTCATAATGCTGTTATAGTGGAGTATAAAGTACTTAAGATATGGTTCCTGCCCTCTAGATGGCCTGGGGGAGAGAAGAAAGCCCTTTTAAGAGACGGAGTAATGCTCACGTGCTAACAAGAAGTGCTGATGGAAAGTGAATTCTGTTTCACTAAGTGTGTGCAACTTCCTCAGAGATTTTCTTCGATGGTTGGCAAGGTGTTTCTTTACATTCAGGAAATTCTCTCCATTAAATGCTCATTTACTTCACATAGTCATAGCACTTCGAATATGGAGGATCGTTGTCTACTTATAATTTAACATGGGATATCGAGGCCTAGGAGATTGATTTTTTTTCACAGCCTTGGACCAGAACTCATGATTTTTAAAAATGCCTAGTCCATAAGCTAGATGCGGGAAGTTGAAATTAGTGCTCTTAAATGTCTTTTTCATGCTGAAATGTATAAACAATTCAGTAGATAGCAATTGAGACGAAGAAATATTTTCCTAGCTAGGGTTTCCCATTATCCTATCTGCTACTTATTGCGGATAGGTAACTACTCCTCGGCACTTAGAAATCCCCCTCACTGCTGACACTCTCTCAAATGAGTAGGGAAGAGGAGTTGGAGGGGATTCATGTGACCATCTAGCCCCTGTCCCTTGCAAGATCACTAGACATGATTAGAGAAGGGCTGAAAAACTCACTTGCCCAGAAATAGTTTGCTGGAGGATTTGACTCAGAGCCTGTGACCAGTAAAAGGTAGAGCAATTAATGCATGAATGCAAATATGCCACCTGAATACAAAATTCCCCCAAATTTGGCCCGAGGTAACAATCTCTAGATTCATAATAAACAGTTGGCAATTTTCACAAAAATACCAAGTCATCTGTAGCAAAATATGTAAGATAAATGAGCATTTAGTAGATGGTGGAAGTGGGGTGCCTGGGTGGCTCAGTTGGTTGAGTACCTTCAGCCCAGGTCTTGATCCTGGGTTTTGGGATTTAGCCCCACATCAGGCTTCCTGCTCAGTGGGGAGTGTGCTTCTCCCTCTCTCTCTCTCTCTCTGCCTGCCACTCCCCCCTGCTTAGTGCTCTCTCTCTCTCTCAAATAAATAAAATCTTTCATAAAAAATTAATGACAGATGTGAACTGACCCTGACAATTTGTCTTTCATCTTCCAGTATAAATTGGAAAGCTGTTTTTATTTGAAATAAAAACTCATTAACAATTGCAGTGAAATGTTCGAATCTCAGGAACATTCTAATTTCTCTGTTTCTACAAAGTAAGGAAAAATGCTCAGGAGTTAGCTTACAACTAATTAATAAACTGGCTGATAAATTGAAGATAAGAAGGGTCCTGTCGGGATCCCTGGGTGGCGCAGCGGTTTGGCGTCTGCCTTTGGCCCAGGGCGCGATCCTGGAGACCCGGGATCGAATCCCACGTCAGGCTCCCGGTGCATGGAGCCTGCTTCTCCCTCCGCCTGTGTCTCTGCCTCTCTCTCTCTGTGACTATCATAAGTAAAAAAAAAAAAAAAAAAAAAGAAGGGTCCTGTCTTTCTGAAGTCAACAGTAGAGGGGGATGCAAACCCAGAGCTCATAAAACCTAAACCAATTTTCAATTCATTTGGTTGCATCATGCTATAAAAATAGGGCACACCTATTGTCATTTTGTTTTGTTTTATTCTTTGCTTGTAAAGTGCAGAGGACAAGACTGATGACTGTTACTATTGCCCAGTTGTTTCTAGACAGGCAAATCCTGCTGTTCAGTTTGTTGAGCAGGTGTCTGATGCTGGTAAGGCTATTGTTGCAGTTCAGGCTGGGACACTGGAGCAGGTTGTTTCCAGAGGGAGCCAAGCCTGCTTAAATTGGGTGATCACAGAGTCTCAGAGCTGAAAGTAAGCTCGGAAGCCTTTATCCAGCCCTTATTTTACTAGATGAAGAAACAGGTTGAGGGCCAAAGACCAGGCCCAGGTCATCTCTTTGCATAGCCCTGATGAGAAACCAGGGATGTATAATTAAGATGGTTTTAGGTGTCAGTGTATGAATCACATAACACATGTTGAGCCAAATTAGAATTTTCTGGTTTGTTATGAGATAATGAAGGGAAAATAAATCAACTGTTAAATAAGGAGTTTGAATGATCAAAGAAGAAAGAGGTTTAACAAGAAAGCTAATAGTCATCAAAATATTGAGTAGTTCCTGGTGTAATAAACACCTTGGAAACATTACTTTGAATTTGAGCTAAGAAAAAAGGTGTTAGAAGGAAGTGAGGTGCTAAGAAATAGAGAATGGCAGCCTGGCTGCTGACTGATGAACAGCCCCCTGTGCTTATTTACCTATTTCTTCTTTATCTCTGAGACCTTAACCCCGAGAAAATGAATTTCTCTGTGTAGCTCCTTAAGACCCTTGAAGTTTGACTTGAATACATTTCTAATATGCTGTGTGAATCACTTTTAACTCATGTTAAAATAAAGGTTTATATAAAGGTTATATTACAGGTTACATCATAATAAAGCTTTATATAATTCATATACTAAAAATGCATTTTGTACATAGATCAGAGACTCAATTTAAAACAACAACAAAAGGGGCGTTTGTGTGGCTCAGCGGTTGAGCGTCTGCCTTCAGCTTCAGGGTATAATCCCAGGATCCTGGGATGGAGTCCCACATCCAGCTCCCTGTGTGGAACCTGCTTCTCCCTCTGCCTGTGTCTCTGCCTCTCTCTGTATCTCTCATAAATAAATAAATAAATAAATAAATAAATAAATAAATAAACAAACAAACATTTAAAAAATAAATAAATGATACATTTATAAATAAAACAACAAAAAAACAAAACACAAAACCTACAGGATCAGAGACCTAGCTCAATATAGAAGTTACGGTTTGGAATCAAAGAGAAGAGTAGCTGGACAGTGTTCAGAAATAGTGGGTTTCAATCCAGGATTTGATTGCTGCACAGAAATTGCTAAACTTCTCTTCACCTATTATCCACAAGCAGTGTCTCGTCCATTCCTCTGGCACAGGCAACATGCCGGGAGCAGAGCACTGTAACCTCAACTGGCATCCAGCAATGGAAACTGCAGCTAGCCTCTAGAATGTTCTGGCAACGCTTTAATTCTTTACAGATACAGAATTGCTGCAGGTGACCAAACTATAACTAGAGTTACTACAAGGGACTTCTCTGAGAAGAGAAATAGATTTCTCCCTTGCTGGTGAATGACTCACTTGGCAGAGTTTATCTCTTAAGGCCAGATCTGAGATGACCCCTCCCCCCAAAAAATCATTCCAGATTTTGGAAGATATCTTCATTTTTTAATTTACTTTACTATCTTTTAAGAAACAAGCCTCTATTAGTGTTCTGGGTCATAATTGTAAGGCTGCACTGATGATGTGTGTATGTATGTTGATTTTTATGGGCCTCCTCGGACTCTTGGCATAGTTTTTTTTTTTCTCCCTCCACACTGAAATTCATATTGCTTGGACAAGTTAAACAAGGTCACATGACAATGCCTGGACTAACTCCTTTCACTTAAAATTCAGGGGGTATCATTACACATTTGGGCTAATAGATTTTTTAAAAGATTTTATTTATTTATTCATGAGAGATGCAGAGAGAGAGGCAGAGACACAGGCAGTTATTTTTAAAGTGTCGTTTTAAAACAGTTTTAAGTTAGTGTTTTTTCAAAGCATGCTTCATGTTCCACTGCACCAGAATCACCCAGGTGTCTGTTAAAATGCAGATTCCTGTGTTTGACCCCAGATCTACTAAGTCAGGGAATGGGGATGAAAATGAACATTGTAAGTGACACACAAAATGATCTCGATGAACAACAAAATCTGAGAAGCCATTTTTAGCAGATTTATTTCATGACTTCGAAGTACTAAAAAATCACTAAAAAAAAAATACTAAACACATACTAGATTTAAAGTACAATTTACTTTAAATAAAAATAAGGTCACCTGCTTCAGAACTTGCTTTATTGGTCTCTAAGGGCTTTATTTCCTTTCCTGTTCATGCCTCTTGGTTACATGCATGGCACTGTGACCATGCAGGATCAGGAAGGGTGGGGGAGGGTGCAGTTGGTATAAAGGGGGCAAATGAAATGAAACATGAATTTCTTTTAAAGTCTGTAGATTTTATATAAATACAGACGTGTGAGAACTTCAGTCTTTCAAAGTCACCAACGGTTATTTGATATATTTATAATATGCATTAGGATATTTTTAAAAATCCATTGTTTTTAAAAAATATTTTATTTATTTATTCATGAGAGAGGCAGAGACTTAAGCAGAGGGAGAAGCAGGCTCCTCACAGGGAGCCCAATGTGGGACTCGATCCCCGGACCCCGGGATCATGACCTGAGCAGAAGGCTCCACCGCTGAGCCAGCCACCCAGGTGCCTCTCCACTGTTTTTTTTTTTTTTTTTTTAAGATTTAATTCTCACTCTTCCAATTCATATAGCTATTTAAATTTTTTTTTTTTTTATTTACAATAGTCATACAGAGAGAGAGAGAGAGGCAGAGACACAGGCAGAGGGAGAAGCAGGCTCCATACACCAGGAGCCCGACGTGGGACTCGATCCCGGGTCTCCAGGATC